AAACCCCCCCCCCCCCCCACACACACACACACACATCAGTGGACCTGGAAAAGTCTTTATTTCAGTTGCATGATGCACAAAATAAAAATAAAAGGGATGAGTTCTCACATTCCCATCTAGTTAGGTGGGAAAAGGAAACGATCCAAATTGTAGAAGCAATATTTTTATCCGCACTGAATGTTAATGTTCTTTTCCTTATTGTTCTGCCTAGTATTTTTCATTTTCAGGACTCATTTTTGTATCATTTCAGGGGCATTCCTGATTCCTTACTTCCTTACTTTAATTTTTGCGGGAGTTCCCCTGTTTCTTTTGGAATGCTCGCTTGGCCAGTACACGTCCATAGGAGGTCTTGGGGTCTGGAAGCTTGCTCCAATGTTCAAAGGTATAATTTTGTATTATATGCATTCCTATTAATTCTGAAATGGACTTGCAAATCTAGGGAATACAAGCTGTAATTGGAAGGAAAAAACCTATTGATCATTTGAATATTTGCCAGTGATACACATACATATGTACACACACACACACACACTTAATTTTAAAGGATTAATCAATATTTCAACAATGATGAAATTGAGATGTCTGATGTTACTGCTGAATATTTACTGTTCTACTTCTTAATATTCAAGAAGTGTAAAACTGAAGTATGTATATGAATGAGGGTATGGGTATGATAATGGCTAGATGTGTGTATATATGTGTATGTGTGTGTGTGTGTGTATACACACACACACACACACACACACACATACACATACACACACCTTGTACAATGTGGCAGAATAACAAATAGCATAATGTAAGTCTTTATCTTTAGGAAACCTCCAGAATTGTAAAAGGATGGAATAAGCTTCTGGAACTGATAAGTTTCTCAGGACTGCTCCTGTATAGTTTAGTCTAATCCTTCTTAATGAATACATTTATTGTACTTTAAATGTTTAAAACAATGTACTGTTTGCCTTGTGCCCATTAAAAACAAGAACCTATGTGAGATATGTGTGCAGACTGAATGTATTCCAGGGAACTATCTATACTAGAGATTTTTTGTTTGTTTTCATTCATTACATATTATTTAGCTTGGCCATGCAACAGATGATACATTCATCAACATTTTATATGTGAATATTGTTCACACTAGCTTTTATTAAGTCCTTAAAAAATAATTATTGTGATTTCCAGACAGAACTAGCTTAAATGAGCACTAACTGCAATATTATGCAGTAATTCACACCCAAGCCTCTTCCAATTGCAGTCCTATGCTCTAGCTTGTGACGTGTTTATGCTATAACAAAAAAATGGTAAAGCATATGGTTGGAGACTGTTATGCCAAAGTTGGAAACATGAAAGAGGAAAATGTTTTTGGACTGTATGGCTTAGGAAACCAAAATGAAGCAGGAGACTGAAAACTTCTTTGTCCTCATGCAAAACTTATACACAGATCAAGAAGCCACAGTATAGACAGAACATGGTGAAGCAGATTAGCTCCAGATTTGCAAAGGAGTGAGACAAGGCTGTATATTCTCCCTTTATTTATTCAATCTGTATGAGGAATATATATTAAGGCAAGGTGAACTGGGAGAAGATGAGCATGATTTTAAAATTAGAGGAAGAAACATCAATAACCTGCACCTTGCTGATGACACTATTCTGATAACTGGAAATGCAAATGATCCGCACATTCTGGCAATGAAAGTCAAGGAGCACATTGAAAAAATGGGACTAAGATTAAATATAAAGAAGACAAAACTAATGGCAACAGGTACAATATCCAGCCTTAGAATTAACAATGAAGTTACTGAAGTGGATAACTTCTGCATTTTAGGATCAACTATCAACAGTAAAGGAACCAGCAGTCTAGAAATACATCAGAAATTGGCACTTGGTAGAGTAGCCATGAAAGCCTTGGCAAAGATACTCAGATGCTGGGATGTGTCTATATCTACAAAGATCAGAATCATCCAGGCATTAATTTTCCCTGTGACATTCCATAGAAGTGAAATTTGGACTTTGAAGAAGCAAGATGGAAAGAGTATTGATGCTTTTGAACTTTTGGGTTGGAGCAGACTCCTGAGGATACAATGGATAGCTAAGAAAACAAGTGGATCAAGAGTTTTCCCTTGAGGCACAAAGGACCAAGCTGAAATGATCATACTTCAGATACATTTTGCAAAGGCCTAGCTCTCTGGAGAAGAATGGCTCTAATGCCAGGAAAGGTGGAAGGAAAGAGAAGAAGACAACAATGGACTCAATTGCAGCAGTGATGGATAAACCATTGGAGGACCCAAAGGATCAGGTTAGGGATAGTTCTTCTGGAAAAAATCTATGTGATCACTAAGAGTCAACATCAACTGGATGGCACATAATCAATGAATCAGAACAAAGAAGACTTCAGTGTAGACTCTACCCAAGAGTCTCTAATCATTCTTTCAAATTATTCCCTTTCACTTCTGGTAGTTTACAATATTCAGCCTTCCCCTCTTTTCTCTAAACCTCTAGCTGAGCCTATGTGCACTTTAGAAATTCATGTGATTACTGAAGGTCATTTTGTAAATATTCATTCCTTTTCATTCTCTTCAGTACATATACTCTCAGTGAATTTATCTACCTTTTTTATGACTCTTTCAACACAAGCAGAAGGTGGAGTTTAATCCCATTAAGAAGGCTTGTGGAGTAATAGCCTAAAGAGAAAATCATGTAGACCCTGCTCTGGTAAGAGTGGCCATAATATTCCATCTTGATTACCATCTAAATATAAATGTATAAGAACATAAAGTACTTTATCTTATCTGAAGCAGCGTCTTATTAAAGTTATTTTAGTAGTCTTATGCTCCACTATTAATAATGAATAAATGAATAAACAGTAATGTCTAAATTTCTCCTACAGGTGTGGGATTAGCTGCTGCTGTTCTGTCCTTCTGGCTTAACATTTACTACATTGTGATTATTTCCTGGGCCATATATTACTTATATAACTCTTTTACTACAGTAAGTGACTTTTCTTCCTTTATTTTAAAACGGCTGTTTAAAAACACCTTGGTCTGATTAATATTAACAATACCTTATGGTATGTTAAGTTACGGTATGTTAAGTTACAGACTCAGATCCAGGAATTATATTTCTACCCATTTTCTACTTGACTAAAATAACTTGCCTATTTCATTGCTTACCAGATTTAGGCTAGATCTAATCAAACTGTATTAATTATTTGCCATGAATCAGTCCAGATATTTTGTATTTGTCTTAGCAATAACATGTATGTCTACAAAAAGCAGAGAAGCATAAGCCTTAACAAGCATAACCTAAAAATAGCAACCAACAAGATAGAAGCTAATAGTACTAATCTAAACAATTAAAATACTCACAGGGCTAGCCAATATTAAAACAACATTTAAAATGTAATGGCTAAGTGGAAAATAAACTTCTTAGTCTACCAGCTCTCTATGATATGCAAGCAGGATACCAGTTGAGATTTCTAACATAAACACACACACACACACACTTTTGTGCAATGTACTACCACTCTCTCATCTGCTCTTAGTCTGGAAGTCATGCTATTGTATTTATTCATTCATTCATGTAGTGTCCCAGTGACACTGAAATTTGCTTTTGGCTGCCTGCTGAGAAGTTCTTACGAACGACCATATAAGAATTGGCACTCAACTTTCACCCTTTTACTCATGCTGATCTTTCCTGCTGAAAAGGTTGAGGGGTAATAACTTGACCAAGGCCACCTGGTGAGCCATTTACCCAGCTGAAATGTTATTAATCCATCATTCTTGGGCCTATACAGAACCCAAAGATATTTTTCTCTTTATAAAGAGTAAGATCAATTTAAATATATTTTGGTAGCATAACTGTAGCTAAACTGTAACAGAGTAGTTTAAAATATGTATGCTTTAGAAGTGATTAGAATAATAGAATATTTCCACTTTCTCTCTCCAGTGAGTTCATTGCAGGACTGTATTTGTGCACAGGCAAAGAACAGGATGTACCAAATGCTTAGGATTAATAGGATTTATGCTATTTATTTATCCATTCACTCAATTTGTATGGCCACCCATCTCAAATTCATGACTCTGAGTGGGTAACAATACTTAAAAACAAAATAAAAACCACCTAACAAAGTTGTAAAAAATTATAAATGTTTATAATTATAAATATTTCCTTGACTACTGAAAATTTTACCTAATTGACTGACGGTCTACAAAACACAAAATAAGGAGTAAAATAAAATCTAATTTTAATCTACAGACTCAGTCTATAGTTTGTACCACACACTTACAGACACTGAGGAAGATCCAAAACTTTAATTCTGTCACATGACCATAAATAACTATGTTTTAAATTAATGGACTGATTAATGTTCCAAATAAAGGAATACCTTTAAATTATGAAATATTGCTAGAGGCAATGGTTTAGTTGCACCCTG